GGGACCAACGGCTTTACTTCCCTTCGGCGTGATCAGAGATGTTATGCCTCAGGACATCCAGGTGGCGCCGACAGGGATTGAACCCAGGCCTGCTGGGGTGAGAGGTAATCACGCTTACCGCTACACCACCGGCGCCGCTACGTTCCAATTTTATTAGGTGACATTTTCTTGCCGAGAGAAACCAAAAAGAGCCGCACTCTAGAACAGAGAGAATAGTTGTTTTATAAAGCGTTATGAGATCTCCCGGATGAGCACCCCACCATGTGCCGCAAATTGAACGCAGAAAGTTGATCCTCTGTTGACATTTTTGCTTAAAATACGTAATATGGGTATTCCAAGTGCACTTTGAATCAAACCAGACCCTAAGGTATTTGAAAGACAATGATTGAGTAATGTTTCTGCCCAAAAGATTAAGCTGCATTTGGGCTGAGTAGCGCTTTCGAGTAAATTCTACCAGTTCAGTTTTCTGCGGTGAGAATTCGATCCCTAGATTCCTAGCCCAAGACGACAAGTTATCTAAGGAACTTAGCAATGGTCCTTGCAAGTCCACGGCATGTGGACCTCTTACGGAAACCACACCGTCATCTGCAAGTTGTCTTAGCGTGCATTGTTCTGCCAAATAGTTGTCGATATCTTTGACATAAAAGTTATAAAGAAGAGGGCTGAGACAGCCTTGGGGCAGTCCCATGTAGCTAATTCTGGAAGTTGTCAGTTGTTCAAGGGAAAAGTTCATTTGCTGTTCTGACAACAAATTGTACAAGAAATTATTTAAAATCCCAAAAAGTCTACATCTGTGGAGATTGCCTGGAAGAATTTCAATGGAAACTGAATCACAAGCCCCCTTTATGTCCAAGAATACTGAAGCCAATTGCTCCTTGTGCGCAAAGGCCAGTTGAATATCTGTGGAAAGCAGCGCTAGACAATCGTTTGTTCCTTTGCTCTTGAGGAACCCAAACTGTGTATTTGATAGCAAGTTATTTGTTTCGACCCACTGATCGAGTCTCCGAAGGAACATTTTCTCCAACAATTTCCTAATGCACGAAAGCATCGCAATCGGACGGTATGAGTTATGGTCAGACGCTGGTTTGCCAGGCTATTACTTTGACCTGTCTCCATTCAGGCGGCATAATGTTGTTTTCTAGTAAGGAATTGAATAAGTCTAGCAAGTGTCTTTTAGCGATTTCTGGGAGATTTTTCAGAAGATTGAATTTAATCATATCGCTTCCCGGTGAGGAGTTGTTCGATGAAAGAAGAGCCATAGAGTATTCCAGCATTGTGAATGGTCTATCCAGAGAGCTGCCGCTCGGAGACGCTTCTCAAAGAATGTGTTGTGCTGGAACTGAGTCCTCTGTTCTACGGTTGGTTATATTACGTCGAGTAGATGTGATTTGATGTGTCACTTGATATGATTTCAAAAGGTAACGAAATTTACCATACGGAACCATAATCCGCAATATCCGAAACCGGTTAGGACTTGATATGTCACTTGATATGGTTATCAAATTTGACCATACGAAACCATAATCAAGAATATCCGAAACTGGTTCTAAAGTGACCTTATTATTCTATTTTTATCGTTATGAGTAACATTGGTCATATTTCGTCGGGTAGACGTGATTTGATATGTCGCTTGATATTATTATTGTTTTTTTGTTAATAACTTTATTTGTACAGGCTCAATCGAATAAACTGTACAGAGTCAAGTTATCATTTGCGTTATACATTATTAATGTCTTAAATCTAAAATTAAAGGCTTTGAACCGATTACTCTCGGAGCCTCCCTTAGCTCAGTCGGTAAATGCACAGCTACAAAGCAAGACCATGCTGGAGGTGGCTGGGTTCGATTCCCGGTCCGGTCTAGGAATTTTTCGGGTTGGAAAATTTCTCGACCTCCCTGGGCTTATAATAGAAGTATGATTGGACTTGCCAGACAATTATACCAATGCAAAAATGGTGCAGGCTTCGAAAGCTCTCAATTAATAACTGTGGAAGTGAATCTCGAACACTAAGTTGGGAGCACGCAATAAGCTAATATGCAATATGCAATAAGCTTGAAATGCGAAGAAGAAGAACCGATTACTCGCAGTCTTCTCGTACAAACTTATCACAAGGCTAATCAAACTTACAATCTAAGTTTAACGTTCTTCAAGAAAACATACATGAGTTGCATAAACTCCAGATCGAGTCTAGCCAAAATATCCCGAACTGGAACATTAGGTTGTCTACCTTAAGCCCGAAGGGAATCATATAGCTCAGATCTGACTCCACGATGCTCAGCACAAGATCAAATAATGTGATCTGCGGCCTGGTAACCTTATCCACATTCACAAAGATTGCTGTCCCCCAGCCAAAAACGGAACAAGTAAGCGTTTAACGAATAATTATTGGACACGAGGCGAGACATCACACGAATGAAGTCTCGACCCACCTCCAACCCTTTAAACTAAGGAATCTTCGACACCTTAGAGATGATTTAATATAGCCATCGACTCAAACTCCTTTTAATTCATTTATTTTGCCAGCTGGCGACCGACTGTTGACGATAAATGAAGAAAAGCTCGTTGTAGGTGATTTGTCGATCGTAAACATCGCCTTCTATAGCGTCCACCTGTACAAGCGAGTCCGCCTTCTCATTGCCTGGAATCGAGCAATGAGATGGGACCCATGCAAAGATGATGACAAAAGATCTTAAAGATAAAGCACTTAGAAGCTCTCGTATTTTCATGAGAAAATACGAAGAGTGCTTTACCTGCCTCATGGAGCAAATAGCCTCTACAGAACTGATACTATCAGCAGGCTTGCGAACTCAGATTATGCCGTATAGATGCTCGTTCATCGTGAACTAGTTCATCCCTCACATAGAAAGAGTAATGATGTCAAACCCAAAGTGCTCAAAAGAGCTCCAGCTCAGATTGATGCTCAAGCTGGACTTCCACAAACACGCATAACTATGAGTGAAACCGTAAATATTGAGCTTCATTATGCATTCGGAGAGAGCACGCACGGCCTTTGATTGATGCACGGTTCTCACTTTCAATATTATGATACACAACAATACATTCAATGGACTATAGGACCATTCCCAGAGAACGTAACATTTTGAGAGAATGATATTTTTTAAACTTGGCGACCACTTTTTGCGTTACTGAAACTCAGTCACAAAAATCTTTGATCGTTTTTTTCCGCTAAGTGCTTTATGAGTGGATAAAGGAAATTATATTTCTGACTAAGAATGTACGAGGGAAAAACTATCGCTTGGTGATGTTTTCGTATTCTCCTGTTGCCTTTTAACATGTTCATTCATTGAATTCGCTACCCTCGCTGCACAAAAGGTAGCTCGGAAATTTTTCTGGACCAACAATTGAAATAGGCGGAACAACTCAACGTCCACACTAAGATTATTCACCGAAATCTGTGAAATTTAACCGAAATCTCAACAGCTGAACGTTCGGTAAACAGTTCGGTGATTTTTTTTACAGATTTCCTATAATTTTTCACCAAATTTTTCAAAATCACAGGAAATCTGATGACAGTGTTGCAGAGCAGCAATGCTACATCGACATGTTTCGTCTAAAAACGATTTACTGACTGTGTTGGGGAAGTAGCATATGCTTGTACAAAATTGGTGGATTTGTTAGTTATTTCGACGCTTTTGGGCAATGCTTGACATTTACCACTTTTTCAATAGTTTCTTGTTCCTGTAAACAGAATTATTATAAATAGAAATATTTCTGATCGATTGGTGATAAAATTATTGAAATTGGTTCAGAGGCAGCTGAGTTATTAACGTTCAAAATCTTTCATAATTTCGTTACATGTTTCATTTTTGGGTTTCACAAAGTGTACCCTTATATAGAAATCACAGACGCAGTCCTACGTCAAAATGAGTTAGTTAGCCTTCATCTATGTGATTACTAATCTTGGATTTGTTGTTCCCTAGTTTGAAGTGGTTAAGACTAGGGTTCTAATGCATGGTCATTATAAATGTCATTCCTTAATTTTGTTGCTAAGAAATCAAATTTTGATTGACAAAGGGGGGTGCCTTTGGAGGGTGCTCTCACTATTCGAAGGGTATAAAGGCAAGAATGACAATTGTATCAAAACCGAATACTGCATTATTTCTCAAAAGTGATGAAGTAATTAAGGACACGGGATGTTCTACAATAGATCTAAGTACTGGTCGCAGTGGTTTTCTGTCCCGAACAGAGGATAAAAAAAAAAGATGTGTGATTTTTAACAATTTCTCAACAAATTTTTTCTCTGAAACAGATATTACAGTACGTACGGGAAGATAAATAAATTTAGAAGTCATCTGCTTTGAAAACATTCCATCGTGTGAAAAAATTTACTCGAAAAATACAGGCAAAGTGCTTAGTAGGCCCCAAATTGGATCGAAGCCCGACAAACATTTTATATTTGTTTTACATTTGGCTTGGATGTTCTCAATGTGATCTTTAAAAGTTAATGTTAGTTGAAGTACTAGTCCAAGACATTTCACCTAGGTTGACCAGGCAATTGAAGCTCTGTTCATAGTGACTATGTGACTACTACTAGTGTTTCAAATACAAAGCTCTAGGCTTATGTTAAAATATCATAAGTTAAGTTTTGGAAGCGTTGGGAGAAATCAACCATTTTTGTAAATAAGAAGAGACAATATCTAAACTTTTCTGCAGTTGCTGCAAATAAAACGAAGACTTCTTCCTTTAGTGGAAATGCCTGCAACTCTGAGGTAAATCAGGGAGTTCCGAAGTGAAATGTTTTACAATATCTGCCCAAGAATGTTACCCTGAGGAACACCAGTTCTAACAGGTAGTCGGTCAGAGTAGTGTTCTGTAAGTTACATAATTTTGAAATAATATTGAGTGGAAATCAAACCTTCATGCCAAACACTGTAGAATGCTTTTTCTATGTCTATAAGAGCAATGTCCAGATTATTTTGAACGAATAGACATGAAATACTTTTGATAAATGTTACTAATAGATTATTATTTTCTTTTTAGGGAAAATAATGGAGCCCACCAAAGAACCAGGGACCTATGAATATGGTGGCAATACTGGCAATCATGGCAACAAATACGAAGAAGATTTAGCATTGGTGCTGTTTGAGCGAGCATCTTTCGGGAAATCAGCATTCAAACTTGCTTCAGAAATGAAGGACGCTGGAAAATTTGACGACGTAGTCATAATTTTCGAAGAACAGAAGGAAATGTGGTTAATCCAAACCAAACACAAAGGCAGCTCAGGTGATACAAAACCATTATCGTTCGACAATTTTTTTCCGAAGATGTTCAAGGATAATCAAGATTTTGCTCTTGTGAAGTACATACAGTCATATTTAGATGTCATTCAAAAAGATGTATTCAAGAAGTATAAGAAACGATTTTTTATCCTAACCAATAAATCATTAGACGTTAGCGATGGAAAGCTTAAGGAATTGGTGGGCATCGAGATCTGTGAGCAAAGTGAAGTGAACCCAATAATGAAGTTAGCTAAATCCGACAATTGCTACATAAGATTCAGACCAAAAGAGGATAACATTGAAGAATTACTGAAGTTGATGAACTCTGAAATAACTGCCATTAGGGATGCGATCATTGAATCCTTCAAACGAGGAAAAGCATCGGACATGCTGACGAAGCACAAAAAACCATTGCAGAAGATCCTGCAAGATTTAATTGCAAATTCAAATAGTGATAACTCAAACAGCCAGGTCGATACCACCCATCAATGGTTGTACAATGAGCTACTAAATAAGATTGACAGACAAGCAAAGGTAAACATAGCAAAAAATAAAGCGTATCAAGATCTGATGAAAGGTAGCTCTAGGGACACACTACCTACATATTTAAATGAAGAACACGTGAGCAAGTTCTTTCAGAATCTAATTTTCTGTGTAGACCAACCAAATGATCTAATGACAACCGTCGAGGATGATCTTCGCTTATGGGTGAGAACTTGGATTCCACCGGATGATCTTGGCAAGCATTCGCCATTAGGGGTGTCTTTGGAAAAATTTAATAAATGTTTTAAAACTTGGATCAATCTTAGTAGTAACAAGCATACACGAAAGATTTACTTAACTGAAGCCGAGGGACGTAAGTGTGTCAAAGATATAACGGAAGAACTGAGTCATAATTTATCACAACGTGAAAGTGAGTACATAGGAAGAAAATTAATTGCAAATAATCATATTGTAAGCGACCATAAATTCATCAAACGATTAATAGACGACCCAGAAGAGAGCAAATTTTCTCTCTTCATCGGAGAGCCTGGTATGGGAAAAACAACTATCCTCCAATACATTGCCTTCGAAGTTCAAAAGAAATCCGATATTGATGTGTTCTTGATATATTTGAATAACTTACAGGAAATGCTCAAAACGGGCTGTGAAAACTTAGAAACGATTTACACAATTCTTAAACTGACTCTTTCAAAAACAAGCTTGACAATATTGAAAAACAATCTAGAAAACAACGCAAATCGGTCTATAATCATGTTTGATGGGTTCGATGAGATCACTTTTCATAACGAGGCAATCGCCATGTTTAAGCAAATATTGTCAAAGAAGAATAATCGAGTGATTGTAAGTGGAAGATATCATGTCAAAGGTATTCTTGAAACAGCTTTTGGAGCAAGGGCAATCAGATTGATTTCTTTTGAAAACGATGAACAAATGGTGTTATTAAAAAAATCATGGAAAACTTCTGATGATTCAGAGGAATTTAAAACTTATTCAACTCAATTGCTCAAAAAATTCTGCTCGGACATAACAAGCTATGAGTCTAAATTTTTTGGGATTCCACTTATGATACGATTGTTGGCGGAAGCATATTCTGATGATTTCAAACAATATGTAAATACTGTTCCAAATAATCGTGCACAAGATATTTTCCCGACTGAAAAATTTAATGTTGTCTCATTGTTTAAAAAGTTTGTGCAGTTTTCGTTTCAAATCAAATGGAAGAAAAAAAGAAACCAAGATGCTTACCGAAATATTGACACGCAAAGTGATGAAGAAGAGAAGTGTCTTTTGAAACACTTTATTATTGAGCATCAAATAGCTGCCTGGCATCAGATTTATAGGAATAACCATAAGGAAGTAATCACATCGGGTGAACACAAACCATTTTACAATGACCTCCAAATAAGAATCAAAAAAGGAACAGAGCACTCTCCTCTATTTAATATTTCAGATGGCAATCTTAGATTCATACACTTATCCTATGCCGAGTTTTTCGCTGCAATGTTTATATATGATTGTATCCAAAAATGCAAAGCAATTTTGTACGAAACACTTGTTGATCATGAAACCGTTCGAAGATTTTTTTTTAAACTAACTGAAGAACAGTATTCAGAACAATCAGAGCAAATGATTGTTCTGAGCGATATTTGTAAAGAAAAAGCTGAGGTTGCATTCTGGGCATGTGAAGCAAGTTCAGTAAAAGTAGTAAAGGAACTACTACAAAATAATGATTTAAAAACTAAAATACACCAAAAATATGGATCGTTGTTACACACTGCGACGTATGCTGGGAATTCTGAGCTGGTTTTATTTCTACTTGATTATGGCATCGATGCTAATATGATCGCCCACTTTGAGATAATTCGAGGGTATGATAAAAACCTCAATACAAGTCCTCTGCACATTGCAAGTGAATATGGGCATCTAGAAATTGCTAAACTTCTCCTCGATGGATCTGCAAATGTGGATCATCAGGATGAAGAAAAAAGAACACCTCTACACTATGCAAGTAAAAATGGGCATTTAGAAATTGCTAAACTTCTCCTCGAAAGATCTGCAAATGTGGATCTTAAAGATGCAAATAATAGATTACCTCTGCACTATGCAAGTGAAAATGGGCATTCTAAAATTGCTGAACTTTTCCTGAATAAACCTGCCACTGTGAATCATCAGGATAAAAAGAATGGAACACTTCTCCACTATGAAACTGAAAATGGGAATCAAGAAAATGCTGAACTTCCCCGGAATGAATCTGCCAACGTGGATCATCAGGATAGAACTAATAGATCACCTCTCCACTATGCAAGTAAAAATGGACATCTAGAAATTGCTGAACTTCTCCTGAATAAATCTGCCACCGTAAATCATCAGGATAAAAATAATAAAACACCTCTCCACTATGCAAGTAAAAATGGACATCTAGAAATAGCTGAACTTCTCCTGAATAAATCTGCCAACGTCGATCATCAGGATGAAAATAAAAAAACACCTCTCCACTATGCAAGTGAAAATGGGCATCTAAAAATTGCTAAACTTCTGCTGAATAAATTTGCCACCGTAAATCATCAGGATACAAATAAAAAAACACCTCTCCACTATGCAAGTGAAAATGGAAATTTAGAAATTTGTGAACTACTCCTGGATAAATCTGCCTACGTCGATCATCAGGATGAAAATAATAGAACACCTCTTCACCATGCACTTAAAAATGGGCATCTTGAAATTGCTGAACTTCTCCTGAATGGATCCCCAAGTGAAAATTGGAATCTGGAAATTGCAATAACTCTCCTCGATCGATCTGCCAATGTGGATCTTCAGGATGAAAATAATAGAACACATCTCCACTATGCAAGTGAAAATGGGAATCTAGAAATTGCTGAACTTCTCCTTGATCGATCTGCCGGAGTGAATCATCAGGATAAAAAGAATAGAACCCCTCTCTTCCATGCAAGTGAATATGGGCATCTAAAAATTGCAAAACTTCTTCTGGATAAATCTGCCACCGTGAATCATCAGGATAAAAAGGATAGAACACCTCTCCACTATGCAAGTAAAAATGGGCATCTTGAAATTTCTGAACTTCTCCTGAATAAATCTGCCAACGTTGATCATCAGGATAAAAATAATAGAACACCTCTCCTCTATGCAAGCAAAAATGGGCATCTTGAAATTGCTTATATTCTCCTGGATAAATTTGCCGTCGTGGATCATCAGGATAGAACTAATAGAACGCCTCTACACTATGCAAGTGAAAATGGGCATCTTGAAATTGCTAAAATTCTCCTGGATAAATCTGCCACCGTGAATCATCAGGATAAAAAGAATAGAACAGCTCTCATTTATGCAAGTGAAAATGGGCATCTTGAAATTGTTAAAATTCTAGTGGATAAATCTGCCACCGTGAATCATCAGGATAAAAAGAATAGAACAGCTCTACACTATTCAAGTGAAAATGGGCATCTTGAAATTGCTAAAATTCTCCTGGATAAATCTGCCACCGTGAATCATCACGATAAAAAGAATAGAACAGCTCTCATTTATGCAAGTGGAAATGGGCATCTTCAAATTGCTGAACTTCTCCTGGATAAATCTGCCACCGTGAATCATCAGGATAAAAAGAATAGAACAGCTCTCATTTATGTGAGTAAAAATGGGCATCTTGAAATTGCTAAAATTCTAGTGGATAAATCTGCCACCGTGAATCATCAGGATAAAAAGAATAGAACACCTTTGCACTATGCAAGTGAAAATGGGCATCTTGAAATTGCTAATATTCTCCTGGATAAATTTGCGGCCGTTGATCATCAGGATAGAACTAATAGAACACCTCTCCACTATGCAAGTGAAAATGGGCATCTAAAAATAGCTGAACTTCTACTGAATAAATCTGCCACCGTGAATCATCAGGATAAAAAGAATAGAACACCTCTCCACTGTGCAAGTAAAAATGGGCATCTAGAAATTGCTGAGCTACTCCTGGATAATCCTGCCATCGTTAATCATCAGGATAAAAAGAATAGAACACCTCTGCACTATGCAAGTGAAAATGGGCATCTTGAAATTGCTAACATTCTCCTGGATAAATTTGCGGCCGTTGATCATCAGGATAGAACTAATAGAACACCTCTCCACTATGCAAGTGAAAATGGGCATCTAAAAATAGCTGAACTTCTACTGAATAAATCTGCCACCGTGAATCATCAGGATAAAAAGAATAGAACACCTCTCCACTGTGCAAGTAAAAATGGGCATCTTGAAATTGCTAAAATTCTCCTGGATAAATCTGCCACCGTGAATCATCAGGATAAAAAGAATAGAACACCTCTGCACTATGCAAGTGAAAATGGGCATCTTGAAATTGCTAATATTCTTCTGGATAAATTTGCGGCCGTTGATCATCAGGATAGAACTAATAGAACACCTCTCCACTATGCAAGTGAAAATGGGCATCTAAAAATAGCTGAACTTCTACTGAATAAATCTGCCACCGTGAATCATCAGGATAAAAAGAATAGAACACCTCTCCACTGTGCAAGTAAAAATGGGCATCTTGAAATTGCTAAAATTCTCCTGGATAAATCTGCCACCGTGAATCATCAGGATAAAAAGAATAGAACACCTCTCCACTGTGCAAGTAAAAATGGGCATCTAGAAATTGCTGAACTTCTCCTGGATAAATCTGCCATCGTTAATCATCAGGATAAAAAGAATCGAACACCTCTCCACTATGCAAGTGAGAATAGGCATCTAAAAATTGTTAAACTTCTCCTCGGTAGATCTGCAAATGTGGATCATCAGGATAAAAAGAATAGAACACCTCTTCACTATGCAAGTAAAAATGGGAATCTTAAAATTGCTAAACTTCTCCTGGATACATCTGAAATCGTGAGTCATCAGGATAAAAAGAATAGAACACCTCTCCACTATGCAAGTGAAAATGGGCATCTAAAAATTGTTAAACTTCTCCTCGGCAGATCTGCAAATGTGGATCATCAGGATAAAAAGAATTGAACACCTCTTCACTATGCAAGTAAAAATGGGCATTTTGAAATTTCCAAACTGCTTCTTGAGCGATCTGCCAACGTGGATCATCAGGATAAATTTAAGAAAACACCTCTCCAGTATGCAAGATTCAATGGGCATCTTGAAATTGCTGAAATTCTCCTTGAACGTTCCTTGATTGTTTCGATGAGATCACTTTTCATAACGAGGCAATCGCCTTAAGCAAATATTGTCAAAGCAGAATAATCGAGTGATTGTAAGTGGAAGATATAATGTCAAAGGTATTCTTGAAACAGCTTTTGGAGCAGCGGCAATCAGATTGATTCCATTTGAAAACGATGAACAAATGATGTTTTTGAAAAATTCATGGAAAGTGTCCGATGATTGCTCGAAAAATTCTGCTCGGATATAACAAGCTATGAGTCTAAATTCTTTGGGATTCCACTTATGATTCGATTGTTGGCGGGAGCTTATTCTGATGATTTCCAACAATATGTAAATACTGTTCCAGATAACCGTGCACAAGATATTTTACTGACAGATTTTTTTTCCTTTATTTTTAACGTCGGTCTCTGTTCCGCGATCTAGTGCCAATCACCGACGGACATCGATTGCCATCCATTGGCGGCAACCGAATGTGCAGGAAGGCAGCTTCCACACGTCGAGTTGCGTATGTTTCGGTTTGGGAACACTTAATTTTACATGACATGTTTGCTTACGTTCCATAATTTACGTCAAAGATGGATTACGCCTCGTGTAAAAATAGTTATTTTTAAGTGTGCAACACACATGGGCCGGGACCAACGGTTTTACTTCCCTTCCGAAGGAAGATGTGACCAGATATTTTTATGCCTCAGAAAAATCCCACCGACCTCGGCTGGGATTGAACCCAGACCCATTGGGGTGTTAGAAAGCAGTCACGCTTACCACTAAACCACCGGCGCCGGCCGACAGAAACATTCAATGTTGTCTCATTGTATAAAAAGTTTGTGCAGTTTTCGTTTCATATCCATATATATATATATCCAGTGGGCAGTGTGCTCTACACTCCAAGTTCCCTTTCTTTCAAATTCGCCCCAAATTTGATATTTTACCCATTTGAGTGCTGATTAATCACAATGAAACATTGTGACAGAGCACGGACTTGAGGTTACTAGCAAGGAATCAAAAATATCTCCAAATGTCAAAATGACAAGCGATCAACGAACCGAATGATATCGCTATGTCAGAAGTGGAAAGCAATAATGATATAATCTTCTTCATTATTTTTCATGACAAGCAGCCTGTGCGCCACAGCTCAGTCAAGGCGGTAGAAGGAAACGTGCAAATTGTTGGCAAGCTGCTTCACGAAGCAAAGCCGAAGATGATACACGTGTGTTAATGGGAATTTTTTTGTTATGTCTTTTCTCGATCCAGATTAAGCTATGTCATCATCCGTGTATATTGAAACAAAGCAGGCAAGCAATATATCATTATCCTTCTACCACTCCGATCGAGCTATGTTACAGAGCGAGTTTTTCATGGCAGTCGTAGCAACCGTTTTGTCAGTATCATTGGTTGCTTTATGTGTTTGGATTCACTGGTTACTAGAGTATTAAATAATCTAGGTTCTATTTAGGATTATATCTGAAAAATCCAAATCTGCTCAACGCCCACCAAGTTCAGTGAAAGTAGTCAAATAACTAATACAAAACTAAAAACACGAAAAATATGTAAAACAGCCAAAAAGCTTATCTTCCATTTAATGCTACTTAATTAATTTTGGTATCCATGACATTGCCAACCCAATGTACAATGTGCAGTCTCCATCAGCGTCATTCTCACTTAATAACTAATCTAAATCTAATCCCTTGAAGTACTCATCCTCTAGGTAAAAATGTCAAGATCACAGGTAAAAAAATCAAACTACAACGTGTAGAATCAGAACCTACCTAACTAATAATAACCAAAGGTAAAGTAAAGGAGAAAAATCGTTTCAAATCTCTAATAAGGAAAAAACCCAAAGGCTTGGTAGCCATCATAATGAAGTAATTGGGTTGCTAGCGGAATGCTTAAATAAAACAGCGAAAAGGGTTGTCTTCCATTTAATTTCACTTAATTAATTTTCTGATCTTGACATTTTTACCTATGGAATGAGTACTTAAGGGGGTTAGGTTTTTGGTCTTTAGTGAGAATGACACTGATGAAGACTGCACATTGTAGTCGAAATACGTATCTGTCATGGATACCGAAATTAATTAAATGGAATTAAATGGAAGATAACCTTTTTCGCTATTTATTTAAGCATTCCGCTAACAACCCAATGTCATTACTTCACGAAAAATATAGATCTTTATTACACACTGCAACGTATGCTGGTAATTCTGAGCTGGTTTTATTTCTACTTGATTATCTAATCACCAAACTAGCGCCGGTGGTGAAGTGGTAAGCGTGATTACCTCTCACCCCAGCAGGCCTGGGTTCAATACCAGTCGGCGCCGCCGGGATGTTCTGTTCACGCCTTCCTTCGGATGGGAAGTAAAGCCGTTGGTCCCCGGTTCATGAGTTGATGGGTCGATAGGTAGGGTCCAGGTGTGGGAGCTGCCTTCCTGGCACGTCGGTAGCACTGGTGCTCAGCACGGAAAACAAGATCGACGGAAAAAACAAACCAAAAGGGTCTAATCGCCAGCTTTGATATATTTCAAGATTATGATAAACACCTCAATACAAGTCCTCTGAACACTGCTAGTAAAAGTGGACATCTATAAATAGCTGAACTTCTCCTCGATCGATCGCCAACTTTGATCATCAGGATGAAGAAAAAAGAACACCTCTCCACCATGCAACTGATTTTTTTTATCACTTACCATCGCACGCAAGGAGTTGCACTTCGACCAACTGTAGATGAAATGCGTTTGTTTTGAAAACCTTCGCTGTCACGTACGTGAGAAATGAACAAATGAGTTCATTATGCATCAGTACATACGCGTTTGTTGATATTCACCAGTGCTTGATTATCTTACTCAAAATAGTCCAAATCAAAAGCGATCCTCAAAAGCAGAATTATCAATTTAATGTTGGGCAAAATCATATATTGAATATTGTCGACCCCAGAGTCATAAACCTTGAGTTTTTGTTTTTGTTTTGATTTGTTTTCCGTCGATCTTGTTTTCCGTGCTGAGCACCAATGCTACCGACGCCAGGAAAGTAGCTCCCACACCTGGACCCTAATTATCGACCTATCAACTCATGAACCGGGGATCAACGGCTTTTACTTCCCTAGTGATCAGAGATGTTATACCTCAGAACATCCCGGCGGCGCCGACTGAGATTGGACCCAGGCCTTTTGGGGTGATAGGTAATCACGCTTACCACTACACTACCGGCACCGCTCTTATGCCTTGATATTATTATGAATTTAGCATTTGGCAATAATTTTCCATCGATCTATGTGTTAAAACCAACACAACACGATCTGCAGCGCTATATTTGTGTAAAATGAAAATAGAATTTTCCTTCAAATGTCACTGCTGTTCTCAATGGTGATATCTCTCAGAAATTACCCATACACTTAGTTCCGTTGATTGTTAACAGAAAGCAATGCTGTCAACATATGAATGGTACCTCTATATATGCATTTAGGTTAGCAATCGAAGTCCCTCCTTGTTTACATGTTCTGCACAAAAAATACATCCGAGATCCCTCCTTTTTTACATATTCTGCAAACAAAATACTTTCTAAGCCCCTCCTCTAACAGGATTTCCAGCCGTTTTTTTTTATGTATGGGGCGGGGCAGAAAGTATATTTTGTGCAGAATATGTAAAAAAGGAGGGAATCCAAATATTAATCAAAATGCATATATAGAGGTACCAGACATGTTTTGCAGTGTCAGGTACTCTATTTTGTGTTATATGAGAGGGAAATCACAAAAAAAAGGTTCATCAAAATACATGGCATGTTGAAAAATTGAACTAGTGAGAGCGAATTTTCGCTCTCAAATTTAATCTCTGGGGACTGGTAGTAAAGCGGGTATAAATGTATGGAGAAAAATATTATTTATGTAATTGTAACTTGTTTAAACATAATTTCCGGGAAAAAAACTGAACGAAAAAGTTCCTGACTAAATTATTTAGGCCCTTTTTATGACCTGAATATGTACCGAAAGCGAATTATTCCCACTTCTCTCAATTTCTATATGGGGATTTTTATCACTTCCTACCAGCGGAACATCTCTGTGAAAAATGGCCGAACGATGTGATTAATTGATCCTCAAAATCATCCCCACCCAAATGATGACTAATAATAATATTGACAACAACAAAAGCGATAGTGAAAATCCAGCCACAAATGGTGATACAGCTTTGTCACTATACGGGCGAGGAGATTTCAGGGGGGAAAAGTGCGGTTCTAGAGCAAATTGTAAGCTAACTCGGTCACTGTCTCATACAAAAATCCAACATGGCTGAATCATGAATTTGACACATTAGAACACCTATGTATATGTAGTCATCTTGGGACTAACACAAGTGTTGACTTTGACACTCAGAGGTTGCCTTGATCAAAAGAATGTTGATGTATCGAAATTCCAATTCATGCAGGTCTCCGAGCAAAGTCCAGAATCAAAATGACGGCAAATAGAAATCAAATTTTGATATCAACATCAAACTGCCGGTGGTGTAGTGGTAAGCGTGATTACCTATCATCCCAGCAGGCCTGGGTTCAATCCCAGTCGGCGCAGCCGGGATGTTCTGAGGCCTAATATCTCTGATCACGCCTTCCTTCGGAAGGGAAGTAAAGCTATTGGTCCCCGGCTCATGAGTTGATGAGTCGATAGGTAGGGTCCAGGTGTGGGAGCTGCCTCCCTGGCGTCGGTAGTATTGGTGCATGGCACGGAAAACAAGATCGACGGAGAAAAAAAAATCAAGGAAAAAAAAAAGTGACATCATAATTTGATTTCAGTTTATGTGATTGACAAATTTGATAACAAATTTTGTTTTCATTTTGCTGTACATTTGCTCTTCAAAAATATGTTGTTGCAGATTTGTTTTCATTACCTTAGTATAACATCAAATTGAAAATTCGTTTTGTTATCAACAGGAAAAATGAACATCAAATGGAGTTTTCAGCTTGCTCTTACTAATAGCAGAATTAGTTTTCAATTTGATGTCGCTGGAAGATTGTTTGCTTTCAATTTGCGACCAAAACGACAATCCCCTGAGCATCGACATCACAATATCAAATGTTGTTTTCAATTTGATCTCAGGCTTTGCTTGGGTATTTGTTAAGGTTGTCTTCATTTTCAGCTCAGTTGAGTGTAAAAAAAATTATTTTTATCAGCACTGAAATTGTTAAGCTTCTCCTCGATCGGTATCTATCATCAGGATGAAGCATAAATAACACCTCTCCACTGTGAAAGTGGCGCAGCAAGGCGAACAACAGCAGAATTTATTCATGATTATTGTGAACTGCAAAGGGAGCATGGTGATGATATTTAACGGAAGCAAAACTTTTCCTCAATCGATCTTTCATAGTATATGCATAAGATTAACTACGCAGCTCAAGACAACGTCAATGATCTCTGGAGTAGAAAACCGCATACATTTCATATTAAACCATGAGAAGATTATTTGTGGATAAACTCAGATAAACTTCTTTCCCGCAGTGTACAGTCAATTTTAGTGATTCGATTAAAAAGATCCAAAATTGATGTCATGTAAGGGGAATGTGGTATATTGAGTTATTCTGTGTATTTTGCTCGAAACGGAATTTCGCGGAATAATTTAAAGTTGCAAGCAGAAAATTACGAATTGATAAACTTCCAAGTTAACGGGATTTTACGGAATTCCGATGATTTTGTTTACGTACAGTGAAATCAAAAACCAAAATTATCAAACTCATATTTACCATTTTCAAAATAATCATAAATAGTCACAGACTTATCCAGGGAAATTGGCAATTATGGGTCTTTCCGGGCCTGAATAGACTACCGCATTAGTGAGACGATGACCCTGGCGATAAGCTTCAACCAATATTATACTCGGATTATATCCGACATCAGAGTTAATCAACACGACTCTAAGCAAACATATTGGAGATCATCCAAACAGGTTCGGTATTTAAAGTTAACTAGAGCTCGAGCTTACCGCCATTAGAGTCCTGGGTGGGTGACTATAGAATCGTGAGGTGTCCCTGCTGGAGCAGAATCCGAACATAATTCACGAGGTATCAGTAGGAGTCTCTTTTCTCTGTGACAGCTGTATGATATGACGGATCAACCAACTTTCATTTTTTCACATTTCTAATTCGGTTGATTTTAAAATTTTCAGTCCAGAGAAATTTAAATTATTCAACTTTATCATAATTGTCTGTACAACTATAGCCAAAATCTCCTCTTATTGAATTGCACTAAAAAAAATTCTCCGGGAGAATATTTTAAAACCAACCGGTTTAACATTTGTTGGAGAAAATCCGATGTAGGGTAAGTGCACCAGTATTACCCATAGTTTCCATTGAATAACAATGTATGTGTCATATCGTGAATATGATTTGAACCAACAATATTAACAGAACTCAAGACCTCACACTTGTAAAAAACGTTAAATATCGCCAAATCATAGCCAAAATAGAAGCATGGTCAATATAGGTGCATTTCCCTTACATGAATATTGATTAATCCGGCCTTTCGGACACGGCGTGAGCAGAATCAACATCCACACTCAGCTCACGAATGAGAAGAATAGGGAAATAGAGGAGGCCTCCGTCCAGTCTCTCCAACAAGCACAACCGAGTTACCTTGTGGCGTGGATGTTTTCTTACGCCAGACCGCACAACATATGTGAAACTTCGAACCGGATGTCTGCAAGTTTAAAAATAGTTGTGAATATTGTTAGAAGGCAATTTATTAATGTTCCACATCTCATGTAAACATTGCAAGTCCTAGAAAATATTTTTTTTCGAGGTGGCACTAGATTTTTGATGTTTCATGAATTTTAATGTCAGTTGGCGTCAACAAATAATAGGGTAGGTGTTTTCCAGTAATAATGGTGTTCCTATAGTTGTGGTAGAGTGGTTATGATGGGAAACCGTCGGTAGATCTCCTAAAATAAAGCAGAGTTGCATATTTCATACCCAAAATTAGCCTGAAATTGACGGAAAACAATTAATTTTCCTGATGAACGTGGGCGTCTTAGTGGAATACCTCTATAAAGAGAGAGAGAGAGAGAGAGAGAAGGATTAGTAATTTTCATTTAATTCCACTATTTTATTTGCTTACCCTTGACAGATACGCGTATTTCGTCTACAATGTGCAGACTTCTTCAGTGTCTTGTACTAATACTTGAGTGTTGAAATAATAGTGGAACTCATAACAAACCAATGCATTCCACTATTAAAGAAACCAAAGTTAGCAACTACCACAACAACTGGAACAGTGTACCTATTAATAGAGGATGTATTTGCAAAAAAATCATACAATTTATTCACAATGTAATATTTTCCTAGCAAGCTAGAGATTGAAAGCTGTAGATTGATGTATAAAATAGTATGTAGAACATATATTTATTTTATAATAAATACATTGGCTTAGTTCCACTATCACTGGCTCACCCACCCTAATTGATCTCCGAAATGGGGAAATTTCTCCATTTTCAAAAACGCAAACATTACCGATTTACCGCTAAATTAAATCACGGCCAATTGAGCCCAAAATTGTTTAATACACATTTTCACAGTAATTGGTACCCTAATGAATATACATTTTTACGTTCATGTGGATTTATATGGGTCATTAGGCTGAATGGGTCATTAGACCGAATTTTGAAAAATTAAAGATTTAAATTAGTTTTTCTTGAATGGCTTCAAGGGTTCAATCCCAGTCGGTCCCGTCGGAATTTTGTGAGGAATAAAATCTCTGATCAGGGAAGTAAAACCGTTCGTCCCCGTTCAGTGAGTTGATGGGTCGATAGATAGTGTCCAGGTATGAGAGCTGCCTCCCTGGCGTCGGTACTTGACAGAGATTGACAATAGATCGACGGAAAACTAGTCAAGGAAGAAAAAGCAGCAATAAATTAAAAAGTGGCAGCAATAATAGCAATAGAAAATATATGTTTAGGCAATAAAAACCTTGTATGACCCAATAATAATCGATTCATTTCAAATTGTTAATCTTGAAGTAGAAATAGAATACTAAACATCAGCATTAAAAATTAAAATGTGCCGGAAAAACATTAGAAATTTTCCAACCAAGAAGTCATTTTTTTTTAGGTTTTATTGGTTCTTTTTCAATTTATTATCGTTCGCTTTTTGATGTTATAGTGCTTCGATGCCTCTTGAGGGTTAACATCGTCAGAATTAGTGATGTCTGAAATTTACTCGATTAATGGAGCGCACAGCGAACGAACAGTAGATATTCGACTAATTTTAAGCTAACATAAGATCGTCCGGGCTATTGAGAAAAATTAAAATATTCATATGGCAGGCAAGATATGTAACTAGGATTAAGATCGCGGCCAAACCATTAAAAATCAAAACTTCAAAAAACTGTTGACACCAATCTACAGGAGGTTGATTAAATAAACATGGGTTTGTGTGTGTGTTTGAACTTCTATTACAATCAGAAAAGATTTCGTTTGTTCAGAAAGAAAATCCTTAAATTATACCTCAAGAAACTGGGAAATGCCAAACAGGGTTATTCATGGGCATAGCCAGGATGCAGAAGTTAAGTGAATGCACTCTGGAGATAGCGGAACGGTCCTCCGGATGAGGGGTCAATCTACGAAACTAATCCTAGACCTACGCAATTTTTTTCAACTCTAAGAACTGTGATTTAAGAATGAATTTGAGATCGTGACATAAACATAAACCCGGATGGCTTTGGGACCGTCCTCCAAAAGATCCGGAACATCAGTAAAAGTGGTACCCTTTCGATTTGACCAACCGATTGGGACAATGTAAATCTCGGACGGTGGTTACATTCAATTATTCCTAAAGTTTCTTCGAGAGCGTGGTTTAAAGGATTGGGTCGATGAAGTCGTGACTTCATTCGCGTGATGAGTGGACTTATGTCCAACCGCTACTCGCTAGATGTGCCTCTCCATAGAAAACACCTCGTGGATAACAACATCTGTCGGTGTGAAAACGGTTACAATGACATCGATGACGCAGTTTGGCAATGTACGGATAATGACGCCGACAGAGAGCGACTTTTGAATACACTCGAGGCCCAAGGCAGCCCTTTAGCCCGCGATATCTGCTATATGTAGTCGATTTATGTGTTACTGCAAATGTCTACCAAAGTAACAATTCAGTAACCATTTAGCATCCACTCTGATTTATGATGGTTTTATAACGGCAATGAACAATCCATTTAGTTTAAATATAGCATTTTAAAGTGTAAAACATTCCTGCTTAGTAATTCAGCTTTTTACTGTTTTAAAAACCTTTTATAGTCTGGCAAGAAAGTCAAAAACTGTCTTGTTTTAAAAATAAATTTAAAACAGTTATCAATCTCTCCATAAAACTTACAGTTCGGTAAAACTGTAGAAGAGATGAACTAGCCTTAGGCTAAAAATCTCTCTAATAAAGGAAAAAAAATCCTTAAAACTGTTCTGTAATTCAAGCATTAACGTCATTAGCAATTGTTTATTAATGTCATGATAAAATACTTTATAAACGTGTTCTATCATTATAAAGGCAACCATAAAACAATTAGGTTTTGCATTAGAGAAAAACGCATTTATTGTCGCTTTTTAGCCTTTTTACCCAATTACTTTGTTTACAAATTGAGCTTAAAAGATGGTTCCTCATAGTTAATATATGCCAAATTTATGACAAGGAAATCTCGAAGGATAGACGAAGTAGGATGAAAAAATCAAGCCAATTTCAGATAAATTTACTCCTTTAGAAGAACCAGCACACCACCAACGACTGACCATCTGTCGGAGAAGAGTAAAGTGAGCGGGGCCCTCGAACTCATAAAACATTGTCTAAAGTTGAAAAACATACCAGCCTTCTCCAGATCTTGCGATGACAAAATAACAACCGACAGCAAACCACTGGAACTGTTAGTTAGAGGAGATTAGCTGGTTTCCGATCCAAAGCAGTGATTTTATTCGGCGATAGACTCTTCGAAAATTTCATTCAACCGTACATCTCTGCATCATTGGATGGTGCACTTCTGTTACCATCCGGAAGAAGAGGATCTTTTTCGGGAACGATTGCGCTTGCAGCAGTTCGAAATGCGAAATGTTGTAAAACAGTATCGCAAACTATCTGAGTAACTGCTCCCAATCCATTGGGAGAAAACCGCCTGGAAGAATCCTGGATCTCGCAGCGCAACTATCGAAAGATAAACAAACTTTGACGTTTAACTTCTTGCAGGCAACTTTGCCTCCATAAATGCTGCCATAAATCTGAACGGGTTAGGATCAAGCAAAATGGCTTTAGATAAATACAATTCAGCCTGCAAGTTTTCTTCATAAAAGCCATTTTAAACCCTTATTAATTTGTTAAGGAATTCTTGAAAGCAAAACAACTTTTTCACAAATGACCCATGAAAATCAATTTTTATGCCACCGCCATGTTACAAATAGTTTGCTTATTTTTTACAATCTTCGATTTTCAATCAATATTTCATTAGATATAACTATATTTTGGTAAATTTACCAAAGAGCAACAATTTAAATGCGATAATAATAAAAAAAAACTCGGCCAAGCTCGATCTGAAGAATATATTTTTTTTTTCAATGTTAAATAATTAGTCAAATCGACGTTTTACGAGGGTGGACTTAATTTTTTCGTTGTTTTCACGTACATTTCACGTAAAATTTAATATGACACTTAAAACTAGGCCACTTAATGAGAACTATTGTAATAAATTTGGATATTCAACAAGATTTTTATACCATCAGTTTCTATTGCATAATTTATTGATAAGATCGGATTCATAAATCCTTTTCTATCTTGATTGATGTTTTCCTAGTGGATTCAGCATGCGGCTAGGGGAAATGGTTCGGAAAGGGTTTTTATTGTTGCTGAATAGCTTTTATTGTAATTTTAAAATGGTTCTCAATGCGTTCGTCATACAACCTTTTACAGTAAATCAATCTTGAAGAGCTTCGAGAATACACCCTTCAGAACCTTCTCCAGGGTGGGCCAACTAGACATATTCTAGTCTTAATGAGGTTTTGGTGGATGCATTAATGACAAAATAGTCTTGACCAGAGGTTTATGAATGTTGTTTTAAAGTTGCTTTGTAGTATTTCATAAAACTTAAATGTTACTTGGGTAGTGTAAGAATTTAAATCTTTTGTTGTCTCTCTTCAATGGTTTTTGTTTGTCTTGTCCCCCCGCCTCGATAAGTCTCGTCGTCGTCCACTTGTCACCATACTCGGTGAAACTCCAGACAAATCTAAGCCACACTACCGTTCATACCTACGACAACAACTATATACAACTAACCCTCGATCTACAATTTATTTTTCAAAACATGAACTGATGTGTTGGATTTCTGCCCACACCTAGTCTTAATGTCAGCATTTGCAAAATCTGATTTCGGAACGTTCGCCTTCGAAATTCTGGTATCGAAAGGATGATCATCTTCAGCACTCTATTCTGAGTTTGTAGTACTTTGGATGATTGCTTGATTTGGGCCTATGCGATCCACCACTAATCTTATATCATTTTTACCCTTAGGTACCTCCAAAAGTGATGAACAGTATGATTTGTCCATCGAATCTTGAAAACTCAACATGCCTACATGCAGTGACTGAATTTCTCCAGGAAAGTTCATCTGATGTTCCGTTTGGATTGTATCTAATAGCAGTGTCCCTGCCCAACAACGAGCGTGCTTTGTTGATTACATACATTTTTTCCATGTAGCACCGTTTGTTTTTTAACCTGAAGACATACTTCAAATCTTCACGTACATCGTACGGGTTAGGCAAAAAAGTGTGCGTTTGATTTGTACTGTCGCATTAATGGCCCTTCACTCGTTTTCAACTTCTATTCAATTTGCATACTTCCGTACTATAACGGAACTATCTACCTACCCTCTTCTAAGACCACTCTCTAGCTAATAAATTACCACACTAAAGCTTCATGTTAGATAGCATTTCCAACTAACTCTGATTATTAAGGTGTTTTTTAGTCGAAGGCTAGTTCATCACGACAATCCGACAAAACAAGCTTTTAGTCAAGCCGGGCTAATCCTCTGCTGGCACACGCCCGCATATTCATACAGATATTTTCCAACACTCTGGAAACTCCATTTACGAACCAAACCGGGAGTTCGTAAATCGAATTTGTGGGTAAAAAAACTCGATATTTGGGATTTACTTCGTAAAGTGAGGTTTTAGAAAATATTGTCAAAATCATCACAATATTGGCATTTTTGAAATCGGAGTGACCTTTGGAAACCAGAAATTCATTTCTGACTCCATTTTGAATTCTAAGATGGCGGCATCCGGTTAGAGAAAAACTGGAAAATGCTTTCAAACAATCCACAATATGGGTATTTTTTAGAATCGTGGTGACGTGTAGAAACTGGAAATCTATGTCTAAAGCCATTTGAAATCCAATATGGTGGCTTTTGGAAACTGAAAAAAACATGGAAACACTGTCAAATACCCCACAATATGGGTATTTTTTTGGAATCGGGGTGACGTGAAGAGTTCGGAAATCTATGTCTAGTGCCATTTTGAAATCAAAGGTGGTGGCTTGCGGTAATTTTACTCATGGACATTTTGTTAAAAACCACTCAATATGGGTATTTTTTGGAATCTGGGAGCCGGGTAGAAACCGGAAATCCATATCTAACGCAACTTTTAAATCCAAGATGGCGCTTCCGGCTAGATAAAAACTGGAAAATTCTGCCAAATTACCCACAATAGAGGTATTTTTGGAATCGAGGTGAAGTTTAGGGACCGGAAACCCATACCTGAATTAATTTTGAAATTCAAGATGGTGGCTTCTGGTTACAGAAAAAAATAAAAAATACTATTAAATAACCCGCAATATAAGTATTTTTGGAATCAGAGTGACGAGTAAGAACAGGAAATCTATGTCTGATGCCATTTTGAAATCAAAGATGGCAGCTTCTGGTTAGCTGGGTGGCGTAGCCTGGGCAATGTTGCCAGTTCGGCAATAGCAAAGTGAAGAGGTGCGATGCGAACCATAGTACGGTGATAGAGGAAATTATTCACCAAACTCGAGTGTCTGTTCACCATGGAGGTGCGACTCAAAACGGCGTCTGTTCTCCATGTTAGGAGCGGCTGATCACCGTCTTAGTGCCTGCGTGGGACTCTGAACAGAGCTCTGCACGATGGTCCCCCGGCAAGACAGGGGGTTGGGGCGTCCTGGAAAAAATATAAGGTTGCAAATACCGGAGAAAGATATAAGGATGGAACAATCGGCACAGAGCTACGCGACGAAATAAAGACTACGATTGGAAACTCGGAACATAGAACTACAAATCGCTTGGCTATCCCGCGCAGCGATAGGTTAATCTATGACGAACTTCAACCACGCAAGTGCGAAGTCGGAGCACTGCAGAAACTTTGCTGGACGGGACAAAAGGTATGGAAAACCGGGCATCGAGCGGCTGGTAGCGTTGTGAAAAATCCTTATTCTGATGTAAACAAACGGTTTAGTTGACATTTCCTCTCGAACTCGCGT